TGCGTTCACTGCACATGTTGCCTCAATCCTGTAGCTCGCGTCGATGTTGTACCTTGCATGGTACTGCATTGTACTGCATGCATGCATGCATGCATGTGCTTGCGTTCGTGTGTGTGATATCCAGACTGGGTAGCCCTTGGTTCGACCAAGAGCCACCTTGCGCTGTGCTTTATGGCATGCACTTGCGTATGTACGTGCAACCACATACATGACCCTGCATTTGTATGTACGACCACATACATGAGCTTACACTTGTATGTGTGACCACATATATGAGCTTGCATTTGTATGTGCCCTAGCGTTCATGTGGCAGCGTGGCACCCATTGACCGCTCCAGTCTTTGCATGCGCGTGCATGTGTGTGTGGCACAGGCAGACTGGGTACATAGTGTGGAGGAACTTCAAGACTGGGGTGGTGAATGGGTTGACTTGAAACGCACCTTGTGCAGTTACCATATCTGCATTTTATGTCCATGCGATTCCACTTGTGTGTGGCACAGGCAGACTGGGTACATAGTGTGGAGGAACTTCAAGACTGGAGTGGTCAATGGGTTGCTGCGTCGTGAGTCGTCACACGTGGTAGGACTGGCGGAGAGCTTGGCTACACTACAAACCATCAACGACGCGCATAAGTAAGTCTGATGGTTGTGCTGGTTAGGCTCGAAGGTTGACTGATTCCAATATTTTAGTGTGTTTCAAAATCTATCTTCATGCAAGTATTACTGAAAATGCCATGTGTTGCTCCAAACTCCTACTATTTTTGCTGTCATAACTTCACTACCTGCAGGGGGGGCAAGGAGGTGCATGTATGGACAGTGGATGACAGGGCAGGAATGAGAGTTCTAGGGTTGCCTGTTGATGTCGTCGTTACCAACAACCCAGTTTTGCTTCGGAAGACAATGAGCCGACTCCAGAAGCAGTGTAAGCATGCTGGTCTGGGTTGATGAAAACTCAAATGCCAAAGCCAGCATATCCAGCCCAGTGTGGCCTGCTGATGCAGTTATGATTGGTTCTGTGTGCATAGTGGATATTGTAAGATACAGCAGTAGTATAAAATGCTTCTAAGATTGCTGATTAGGGCTAGGATTTTTATGGTCCAATCGAAGGCCAAGAAGATAGCAACAGTCGCAGTGCCGATTGCAGGCAATCACAACAGCGGTCGGAATAATATATTTTCCAAACACAACTCACGTTTATGTACATCAGTCTTGCACTGACGACACACCAGCAATATAACTCGCTAACAAGGGCTTTCTTGTCCACTAAACCGGCTAATCCAATGCCTGCTCCAGAGGTCTGCATTGAAGAAGCTGTAGAGCAGAGTGGTGAATGGTGGCCCTTGGGTCTTTTATTTAGTAGGAACCTTTGATATATTCACTCAACCGCTTCACCTCCTCCCGATGCTCCTCCACAACAGCAGCAACCACGTCGCCAATGCTCAGCATTCCCTTCATCTTCTGTCCCTCAACCACGGGAATGTGCCGAATTCTTTTGTCTGTACCACGGAAGAAGCAGAACAAGAACGTTCATGTGAGCAAGCTGCTGTTTATTGAAGTTAGACCCTGAATGCTGTTCAATGAATACGAAACATACTGTAATTTACTCACCTGACATGATCTCCATAGCCTTGAGCAGCCTTGTCTCAGGTGTGAGAGTGATGAGCTTATTCTGCAATGTCATGACAACGGAAGATTACGGTATGTGACAAGCTTATATTTCTTGCTATTTTTTCTGTAATATTACCACTCATTTTCAGGCTTCAGCTGACGTACCTCGTCAGTCATGATGTCGCCAACTTTTGTGGTCTTCGAGGACCGACCCTGTACAATGATTTTTCTGAGGTAATCTGTAAAGTAAATCCAGAAAGTTGAATCCATGTCAGAGAAATGAACAACGCCAAACGACAGGTGATTTAAACATGCTGCGAGTGCCCACCTCTTTCAGTAACAATTCCCGCGATCGTCCCGCTCGTGTCTGGCCTCATCACCAAAAGCGCACCGACGTTGTGGCTTGTCATCTGCAACCATGAGCACGAATCCATCATTGAGACAAAACCGTAGGGCTAGCGATTTCCACCGAAAAAAGAATGGTAAGAAAACAACGAAGCTTGAGAATTCTCACCGATTTCACTGCATCGAAAACGGTATCGTCCGTGGTGCACCAAAGCCACGAGCCGTCATTGCCGGCTCCTCGAGCTCTCAGAAGGTCTGCGATTGTGGCCTGCTCGAATGGCAGCTGCTCCTCCTCTGACGACGCCGCTGGGTTAGTGGTGTTTGTGAACGATCTGTACGGAGCAGCTGAACGAACCCTCAGCGAAACGCCTGCTCGGCTGCCAAGAACACGGAGAAGTGCAGCCATTGCTCACGGCTGAGCGTCAGGAGACGAGAAACTTGAGGAACTGGAATCTCCAAGAAAATCCCAGGACAACCAAGAAAAAAAAGCCTGAGAAGAAAAGACCACTTCACAGGCAGTTTTGACTGGTGGTGATGTTTGTTCAGGCCTTGCCTGCACGAGACCAAGGCTGTGGCAGTTTGAAATTGGAGCTGAATGTGAGCTTCAAGGGAGCAGAGAAATTTGAAGCTCTGCGAAGAGGCATGCACGGAGCTCCCAAGGCCAGGGGGAGCTTGTGGGGGGCTTGGTTGGGTGTGTTAGCCTGGGGCTTTGACGAGCCTGTTGCGAAGGTCCGAGGGGTCATGCCTCCGCACGTGTTAGTTTTTGCCAAATCATAGGCAGGAAATGCCAGGTCCGAGAGTGAGTTGATCCGATGTGGATGAGGCCGATAAGTGGTTCTTCGAGTGTGCCACGCATGCTTATGCCAGCTCAGACTCGGCAGCCTTGTACTCAATACACAAAGATGCGTAAATTAACGGTTGAATATCCAGAAGTACACCGGCGTAAGATTGACATTCGTATAGAGCGAGGACATGTATCGTCGACATTTTCGTTACAGTCGTCCAACGTGCTGTGAGGCATCAGGTGCTACACCACTTCCTTCTTGCGTTCAAGATTCTGCTTTGGCGCTCTTCTAAAAGCTCCAAGAAAAAGCAAGAGAGCTGCTCGTAAAGCAAGGCTGGCTCAACTACACCGGCTCTTCACCTTTCCTGAACCCAATCAGCCGGCGATTCACCCGGAACTACAAGCCACGTGGCTACTCAACGATGCTTACCGCCCTCCTTGAAAAGTCCGTCCCCTCCCTAAGCCACGTGTCACTAGATGACCATCCTGGATGGTTTCGCTTTCATAGCGAGAGGAGGACGTGTTCACACGTGCTCCCCACGGGGAGCTAGGCTTATGCTTGTTTTCTCATCTAGTTGCATGTTTGTAACAGGTTACGACCTAATAAAAACCTTTAAACCTTTAAACCAACGTGCTGTGAGGCCTCCACGTGGCTCGGCGTTTCCAAAAAAATGGCATCCTTGTCGAATGGGTTGTGTCAGTTTATGTACGGTTGATCTGGGTTGACTGCTGGTTCACGAATCTAGCACTTCTGTGACTGGCATTCCAATTTCCATCGCCTCCACCACCTCCCTCTAGCATTTCAATGAAATTCACAGCCTACCCTGCATTTCTGTCCATTCTGTCGCAGTTCTATCAAGATTCACTATCTCCTGTTGCTTGCATCATGGATTCCCTGCTCCACCGCGGTAATCCAGCCCTCCATCCCGCACCACAGCACGCTTTGCGATGCCGCAATTCAAGACAAGCAGCATCACGAGCATCCGTTTCCCGCCTCGCTAGTAGTTTCGGGCCTTCAGCATTTGTCGGCAAAGTTCAAGAGACTAGGCAAGTTACGAGGAGGTTAAACGCTCGGCTAGGATTGCACGCCTGCCGAGCTGCCTCCTCAGATGGCACAGCTTCAGCCGAAGACGAGTCACCACAGGCAAGGGATTCGTACGCATGACTCGCAGCAACGCATAAGTCTGCATGGTTAGCAACAGTAGCAATGTCGTTTATTCATAGAATCATTTTGCCGGTAGTTACCGAGAAATCGTCGTTCGACCGTCTGAAGGATATGCGTCGGTGTTTACGCGTAACCTCGCAGGTGCCTCGTCCATCGCGGCGAGTCTCCGTTCCCGATTCCGTTGATGAGAGCGTTCAGCAGGTGAGTCAACCTCAGTGTAGTTCATTTTTTGGGGGGGTGCAATAGCTATTTCTGAGAGTGTCAGCAGGTTACTCAGTTTTACTGCAAGTATCGTAGTCAGCTCGCAATTATCTCTGTACCCAACAGCTTCACCTGCTGCCGAAGCAGTTGTGCTGCTCGTTAGCACCATTGATAAATGAGTGGTGTAATTTACCTGCAACTTGCTTATCTTTTCAATCTGGGCTTTCAGGCTCGAGAAGCAGTGTGAGGAGGGCGAGGGAAGGAGGTGTGCTTAGAGTCGACTCAAATTACCTGCTACTTGCTTATATTTTGAATCTGTCCTTTCAGGCTCGAGCAGCAGTGAGGAGGGCGAGGGAAGCAGGCCATCAACGGTTGATGCTGGACCTGCTCTTGCCGCTCATTGGCCCTTCACTCCTGGACGACTGGCCTGTAAGTAGTAGTCAAATTCAACAATGTTCTTGAGACATTTACAACTCGTGCAGGACGTTCTTGAGAAATTTAAAAGACACCCTTCAGATGCTGGACCTGGACCTGCCCTTGCCGCTCATTGGCCCTTAACTCCTGGACGACTGGCCGGTAAGTCACCATCAAATTCACAGTGGTTTTGAGATTTTCTCTCACGCGCCCTGCAGACGTTGGAGCTGCTCTTGCCGCTCATTGGCCCTTCAACCCCCAAACGCTGGCTTATAAGTCACCAACCCATAAACTCCACACCTTACGAACCCAACCTTCATACTTCACACCTTTATTACCGACAAAATGCCTTTTGCCTTAATCCCCCCCGATGAACTTACAGGGTGGCATTCAGCAGCAGCTGCAGGCGGCCATTCCCCATTGTCGTCCGATTTTACGTAAATGCGAAAATGCCTTTGCCTGAACCCCCCCTGATGAACTCACAGGGCGGCATTCAGCAGCAGCTGCAGGCGGCCATTCCTCTGGTGGAGTCGCTGCTGACAGGGCTGGTGGACGGGGGAGAGTTGTACACGAGGCGGGTGATAGACGAGGATGAGGCAGTGGTGGCGTGGGAGAGCAAGACGGTAGGTACTTTCGGTGCCTCAGGCACCTCAGAACAAGGAAGCCTTTTGAGGCGCCTCAGAAGTTGAGGGCCGGTGGACGGTGGGGAGTTGTACACGAGGCGGGTGACAGATGAGGATGAGGCAGTGGTGGCGTGGGAGAGCAAGACGGTAGGTACTTCCAGACCGTCCACATGTGCGGTGGTGTGGTGTGGTGCGATGTGGTGTGGTGTGGTGTGGTGTGGTGTGGTGTGGTGTTTAATGTGAAGTGCCTGAGGGCCAACCTGTTTCTTGCTGCTAGACACATCCTCATCAAGAAACCATATTTTTACGTGCCCATCCCCCCCACCCCCCCTACCCACTCCCCCCCCCTTTCTCTCCCCCTTCCCCTCACCCGTGGGTCATTTGCGTCTCTTTCACCCAACCTCGAATTTGAAGGTTGCACTTGTGCTCTTCCCAACAGCCGAGCGCCTGCCAGCTGTCATGGAGCTGGTCAATAGCGAGCCAGAGCGGACGCTGCTGCTCATGAATCCTCAGTGGCAGCCAGGCCAGGTAGGTTGGTCTCTCCTCTTTGTGCATGCATGTGAAGACACAATTCCTGCATTTCATTGCAAGGCCCATCTGTCCGATGTGTTGGTCTGTCTTTTTGTGCGTGCATGTGAAGATACAAATCCTGCATTTCATTGCAAGGTCCATCTGCTTTGTGAAGCTGCACAAGGCTATTCCGACACCTGTGCATGAGAGTGGATGTGAAACCTGTCCATTGCGCTCTCTCAACTTTGTTTTTTCCTTTCCTGAACGCGTGAAACTCCTGCGTGCAGGTGGTCTCGGATTTTGGATTTGGAAGCAAGCGCAAACAGGCAGAAGAGTTTCTAGGCACCTTCCTCACTGCCTACAGTCTGAAGCGCAACCGCATCCGCTCGTATGATGTCACTCTCATCAAGTGCTTCCCCGGCGATTGGCAGGTGCGCAATAGAACATCAATTGCGTATCCTTTTTTGTTTGTTTGTTTGTTTGTTTGTTTGTTTTTTGTTTTTTGTTTTTGTTTTTGTTTTTTTCTCTCTTACATTCCGCAGCCTGCCATGTATACTGACGTCCTCCTTGCACTCCTTATTTGTCAGGTTTACATGTCTGATGACAGTGGTAGTGGGTCTGATAGCTCTTTCCCAACATATGAGATGATTGGGACAGTGGAGAATCGGCCGAATTATCGTGACCTGGAAGCGATGGTGCAAAAAGGGAGCAGTCAAGGGAGCGACTCAGGTGGATGGTTTGGGCGGATTGCCAAGGAGATTGAGTTTCTGAAACGTTCCAAGTGATTGTCCAGGCCTTCAGGTCTAATCTATAACAGCTAATAGATTATATAACCGGAATGCTGCAGTGTAGTAAACATGCCATTAGGTGCAGTTGCTGTAATTGCAACAGAGAGTACTCCGTGATGTGAGTGTGCAAGCTGGCGTGTCTAACGGCTGAAGTGACGTGTTCTGAAGTGCTGCAAACAGCTTTCTGTGGTGTACTGGCATTGTAGGAACAAAGGCCGCAGTTACTGCTTCACGATTCGACATGGCGTCGTCACCGATACATGCGAACACGACGAAATGACCAGAACTAGAAATACGATTCAGCAGACCTTCTCGAGCAAGGCTTGTCTTTGCGAACGAAACCCACTTCCGCTGTGTCTGCCTGTCACTGTCACTTGCTTGCAGGTTCAAAAAGTTCGCGCGGGACTGCTAGTGTCACTCCGCTGCAGAGCAGACCCTTTCGGCGCGGCCCCGCATTCATTTTGACGTGAAGCACAGTTCCGCGTAGCCGCGCCACGAGCGCAGACACCCCACCACTCCGCGCCATCCCCCGTTTCAATCCTATTGCGGTGTTCCCATGACCAGACATCAACGGAGCGGAAGTTCCGCCATATCCGCGGCATTACCCATGCCCCACCCTGTCCCTTCCGCGCACAATGCACCCCTACTTCTTGTTCCTTCCCCTCACTTCCCTATCCATCCCTCCCTCCTTTCCCTCCTCTCCCTCCTCTACCTCTTCTCCGTCCTCCACCCCTTCTCCATCCCCCTCGTCTACCTCCACTCCATCTTCTTTGTCCTCCCCCACTTCCTTCCCTCCTCTCCCTCCCATTCCACCCGTCCTCTCCACTCCAACCACCCAACCTCGAATCCTCCGCCATTGCATCAATCGCCTTCATCCATCCACCATTGTCCCTGGCTTTTCCTGTGCCTCAGGGATGGTCTTGCATTCCAGCAGATGCAGCATGCAGAGCAGAAGCGCAGTCTTGTTTATGTCTTGTTTTCGCACCACTGCTTTTGACTCTGGTATTAACGTTTTTACTATAGTAATACTGTCAGATGGCTTCGACAACTAATAGAGACTCCTGTTTTCGGTCTTATCCGCTTTAACTATTACCGTGTTTCCTTCTTTCGGTTGCTTCTTACTGGTTTCGCTTGGTGTTGTTAGGCTTCGCCGCTACCCTCTTTAGTAACGAAGGTCCGACCAAAGCATACCTAGTTAGCCATTTCTTCCTCTGGCGTCATCTTATTTTGCCAGCGAGTACAGCCTGAGCTTAGACTCCCGCGCTTCGTCTTTTTCCTCGGCCATTCCGTTACAGTTCCGTTTTCGTTAGTTTCTGACGGTTTCAGTCATGTCGACGTCAACTGCCTCCCGCGTGTTCTCGACGGACGACGACGACGCGAGGTCGAATTCGTCCGGCGAAATGGACGGATCGCTGAGCGACGACGAGGTCACGCAGCAGCGCCTGCACAGTCGCCCGCAGCTCGCGACGTCGGCTGAGGATCTTACCGCGAACCTCCCCGACGATTGCCTCGTGCACGTATTCCGGAAGCTCGGAACGTCGGATCTTGCCAGATGCTCGCTAGTGTGCAGGCGTTGGTTTATGTGAGTACATCTGGTCCTTCGTCCCCGCTATTGTGCGCTTGTCTCGTTAACGTGTTCTGGAAGCTCGGAACGTCGGATCTTGCCAGATGCTCCTTAGTGTGCAGGCAGTGGTTCATGTAATTCATTTTTTTCACCGAGAACCGGGCCGTTCTTGTGAGTAATTCATCGCGCTGCTCTTGGTCGTGGCCGAGAACCCGGATGCCTTTAACTACTCACGCGAACCATGTGCGTCCCTCGCGCCGTTTTTGGAACTCGTGCGTCGGCGGACGGAGATGCCTTCAAAGCACAGCTGAAGCTGCTCGAAGCTCTTTGTTCTAACCTTCAAAGCTTCAGAAGCTCGAAGCTGCGCACTCTAAGCTTACTTACTGATGTCTGCGTGCCATAAATACGGCGTACCTGATATTTTCGTCTGCCCCGAGTACACTGACCGTGTTTCTAGCAGGATGCTTGTTACTTCAGCGTGGGCTGAAATCTGCCCACGCCAGAGTCTTCCCATCCCCTTCACCCCCTCTTCCCTCTTTCCGTCCGTTTCTTTCACAAGCCGGTGCTCAACCGCTCAACCTCCCTCCTTTATTCCCCCTTTCTTCGTTACGTGCGCTTCTTTCGCAGGCTGGACGCAGAAACACGGCCCAGCATCCCGCGCTCGCGACGCCGGACGATCACACGCGTGCAGAAGCTCGTGCTTAAATGCTCCTTCCCTCCATCTTCCCTCTTTCGTTACGCGTCGTTCACAGGTCGGACGCCGAAACCAGGCCAATTATGTCGCTGCGAGCGATGCTGGAAGCCGCCGGACCTCGCGAGCCTGTTCACGCGGTTCACGGGCGTGCAGACGCTGGTGCTGAAATTCTCGAATGCTCCTCCCCTCCCTCTTCCCCCTTCCCTCGTTCCCTGCGTTTCCTTCACAGGTTAGACGCGGAGACCAGGCCAAGCATGTCGCTGCGCGCGACTCTAGACGCCGCTCCAGACCTCGCGAGCCTGTTCACGCGGTTCACGGGCGTGCAGAAGCTGGTGCTGAAATGCGAGCGCAACGTGCTGAGTATTGACGACGCGTCGTTGGACACGATTGCCCGGCAGTGCGTTTATTTGAGGAAGCTGAAGCTCAAAAACTGCCGACAGGTGCGTGCCTTGAAAGGAGATGTGTGGGGAGAGAGTGGGAGTGGAAGCACGTGCGAGGGAGTGTGGGAGCATTTGGGACGGGGAGAGTAGAAGCTGGTGCTGAAATGCGAGCGCAACGTGCTGAGTATTGATGACGCGTCTCTGGATACCATCGCCCGGCAGTGCGTTTACTTGCGAAAACTGAAGCTGAAGAATTGCCGGCAGGTGCGAATCGGGAGAGAATGTGGGATGGAGTGTAGGATTATTTGGGAAGAGGAAGGCAGAAGCTGGTGCTCCAGTGCGAGCGCAACGTGCGCTCACGCCAGAGTTGGATACGATTGTTCGGCAGTGCAATCTTAACGCACTGAGCAGTGCGTATCTGAGAGAACTCAAACTTAAGAACTGCCAACAGGTGCGTGTGGGGAACATGGGGAGAGGTTGAGGAGACTGTAGGGGGAGATTGGGCTGGTGCTTTTGCGTGGAGAAATCTGACAGGCCTGTGCAACGTATTAGCGCGCCACTGAACTCGTGCCCCGTTTTGCACCCCTTTCACCCTTCGCTGCACCCCTCTCTGTTCCTCTCAACACCTTCAGATCACGGACGATGGCATGGAGAGGTTCGCCCGAGCCTGTCCGGAACTTCGGAAGTTCTCGTGTGGGAGCTGCGGGTTCGGGCTGAGGGGACTGAACGCTCTGCTGAACGGCTGCGCCCATCTCGAGGACTTAACCGTGAAGAGAAGGTACAGTCAAAAGGTTCGGGCCTTGGGTCAGCCTCCTCTCGTGTGGGAGCTGCAGGTTGGGGCTGAGGGGACTGAACGCTCTGCTGAACGGCTGCATCCATCTCGAGGACTTAACCGTGAAGAGAAGGTACAGTCAAAAGGTTCGGGCCTTGGGTCAGCCTCTCGTGTGGGAGCTGCAGGTTGGGGCTGAGGGGACTGAACGCTCTGGTCAACGGCTGCATCCATCTCGAGGACTTAACCGTGAAGAGAAGGTACAGTCTAAAGGTTCGGGCCTTGGGTCAGCCTCTCGTGTGGGAGCTGCAGGTTGGGGCTGAGGGGACTGAACGCTCTGGTCAACGGCTGCATCCATCTTGAGGACTTGACCGTGAAACGAAGGTGGGTATGCACGGAGCGTTTGGGAGGAAGTCCTCTAGGGACGCCCTCCCGCATGTGCGTTTGGGTGTCACGCCCATCCCGCATGTGCGTTTGGGCGTCACGCCCATCCCGCATGTGCGTTTGGGTGTCACGCCCATCCCGCATGTGTTTGACTCCGGCCAACCTCTCGCTCACCTTGCACATTCCCCCATCTCATTCCCCTCTCCCCCCCCCTCCAACCCCCCTTCTCTCCCCGCCTCCCAGCCTCCATCCCTCATTGCCTAAAGACCGCGTCACGCAAATCCCACACGTGTCGGACTCGCTCTCACCTCCTGCCAACCTCTCTCTGAAGCGCCTCTGCCTCAAGGACCAACGTCAGTCGCACATCTGGGTGCCGCTGCTGCAGGTGAGCGTGTTCCCCTGCCGTGCCCTCCCTTTCCCTCTCCTTCGTTCCACTCACCGCCCTCCCCCTCCTCGCTCTCACCCCCGCCAACCTATCTCTGAAGCGCCTCTGCCTCAAAGACCAGCGCCAGTCGCACATCTGGGTGCCGCTGCTGCAGGTGAGACTCCTTCACCAATTCGAATTTCCCTATTCCCTCCCGTATTCTTCCTTTCCCTCCTCGCTCTCACCCCCGGCCAACCTCTCTCTGAAGTGCCACTCCTTAAGGACCAGCGCTGATCGCACATCTGGGTGCCGCTGCTGGAGATGAGCGCTACTGCTGCTCCTGCTGCTCCTCCTGCTGCTGCTCCTGCTGCTCCTCCTGCTGCTACTCCTGCTGCTCCTCCTGCTGCTGCTCCTGCTGCTGCTGCTTCTGCTCCCGCGACTGCTGCTGCTGGGCACATGGAGGCTGGGAACCCAAATTTGACTCGCAACATAGGGCACAGAGATAAATTTTGTGCTGGTTAACTCACTCCTCGCTCACTCTCCTTTCCTTCCTACTCCCGCATTGTTGTGCTGCTGCAGGCCACATCGAGGCTAGAAACCCTAATTCTGGCTCGGAACGCGGGGCACTGGGACCAGGTGCTCGGAAGCTCCCTCGGAGAGAAGCTCACTCCGGAGCTGTCTCAGGTGAGTCTTAGGTGAATTTTCAGATGAATCAGGTTGTATTAGGTGCCCTAGTGGTGCTTTCGCCATTCTGTCGAATTCTGAGGCGCCTAAATCTATCCGCAGTTTTTGAGTTTTTCATTCCGAGGGATTTGAAGTGCACGTGACCTTGTAAGTGCAAGTCTACCCCCTTAACCCCTCCCCTTCGTGAATTAGAGGCGCTGGTAGTGGTGCGCATGCTAGAGTGCACCAATGCAGGCATGTCGACTGTAGCGGCCGGATGTAGCAACTCTCACCGTTGCCTGCCTGTCCCCTTCCCTGCCCCCCCCACAGATATACGTGGAGAGGGTGCAGATAACGGACAAGGGGCTACAATGTATCGGCAAGTGCCCTAAATTAGAGGCGCTGGTGGTGGTGCGCACACCCGAGTGCACCGATGCCGGCATGGCGGCTGTAGCAGCCGGCTGTAGCGGGCTGAAGAGGCTGCACGTGGAGGGGTGGGCGCCGGGGCATCTGGGCGACCCGGGGCTGTCAGCAATCGCCAGGCACTGCCGGCAGCTGCAGGTGGGTTATGGTCGCTAGGTTTGGCGGCTGTAGCAACATAACTGCCCTAGCTGCTGCGCGTATTCCGTCCCTGCACTCTCTCTCCCCCTTTCCATTCTCCCACCTCTGCAACCCCCCACCTCCCACACAGGAGCTGCTGCTCGTATCCAATGCCTGCACTGTCTCCTCCCTCCAGCCCCTCGCCTCCAACTGCCCTTTCCTCGCCCGCCTCACTCCCATATCTCTGCTTGCTCCTTTTCCGTCACCCCCTTCCGCCCTACCCACAGGAGCTGCTGCTGGTGTCCTATGCATGCACCGTCTCTTCTCTTCAACTCCTCGCCTCCAACTGCCCGTCTCTCGAGCGCCTCACGCTCTGCTCGGGCCACAACATGGGAGACCCTGAGCTCGCCACCCTCGCTCACTCCTGCTCCAACCTCCCTGGTTCCAGCCCCTCACCTTCTTCCACCCCCCCTTTCGTTCTCCCACTGCTCCCTTATCCGCAGGAGTTGCTGCTGGTGTCGCATGCCTGCACCGTATCTTCTCTTCAACTGCTAGCTTCCAACTGCCCGTCTCTCGAGCGCCTCACGCTCTGCTCGGGCCACAACATGGGAGTCCCTGAGCTCGCCACCCTCGCCCACTCCTGCTCCAACCTCCCTGGTTCCAGCCCCTCACCTTCTTCCACCCCCCCTTTCGTTCTCCCACTGCTCCCTTATCCGCAGGAGTTGCTGCTGGTGTCGCATGCCTGCACCGTATCTACTCTTCAACTGCTAGCTTCCAACTGCCCGTCTCTCGAGCGCCTCACGCTCTGCTCAGGCCACAACATGGGCGACCCTGAGCTCGCCACCCTCGCCCACTCCTGCTCCAACCTCCTTTGGTTGTCACAACGTCGAATCCGGTCTCAAGTCCACTGAAACTGGACCCTCCTACCCTCTGTCGCCCCACCCCTCTGTCCCCCCGCCCCTACCTCTTCAGGAGCTGCTGCTGGTGTCCCATGCTTGCACCGTCTCTTCTCTGCAGCTCTTCGCCTCCAACTGCCCTTCCTTAGAGCGCCTCACGCTCTGCTCAGGCCACAATATGGGCGACCCTGAGCTCGCCACCCTCGCCTACTCCTGCTCCAACCTGCGCCTGCGTCTGTGTCTCACCTTTCCCTCCGCTTTCCCCCCACTCCCCTTGTCCTTATCTTTCCTCTTCCCTCCCCTTTCTCGCTGTCTGCCTTCTCCCTCAATCTCAGGAGCTGCTGCTGGTGTCCCATGCCTGCACCGTCTCCTCCCTGCAGCTCCTCGCCTCCAACTGCCCGTCCTTAGAGCGCCTCACGCTCTGCTCAGGCCACAACATGGGCGACCCTGAGCTCGCCACCCTCGCCTACTCCTGCTCCAACCTGCGCCGCCTCTGCGTGAAAGCCTGTAACAAGGTTACCGACCTGGGGATCTACGCGCTCGCGAACGGGTGCCCGAGCCTGCAGAGGCTGAAGGTGAGGCGGTGTCCGGCGGTTTCGGCGCATTCGCTGAGTGTGTTGCAGGAGCAGAGGCCTACGCTGGTGATCACGCAGGAGAGGAGTAGGGGCGGGGTGGGGAGAGGAGGGGAGAGAGGGGAAGGGAGGGAGGGCGGTGGGGGAAGGAGGGAGGGTGGAGGAAGGGGAGGGGGAGGGGCTGTGGTCGTTGGTGGTGGTGGAGGTGCTGGTGGTGATGGTGATGGTGCGGATGGGGGCGGTGTGGGTGCGGTTGGGGGTGGTGGGGGTGGTTTGGGTGGGTTGCTGGGTGATGGGTTTCAGCTTCGGAATCTTGGAGAGAGAATAGGGCTGTTGGGGATGGGTGGGGGAGGATGGGGGGCAGCAGGAGCAGCAGGAGCAGCAGGAGGAGCAGCAGGAGCAGGAGGCGGAGGAGCGGGAGGAGGAGAAGGAAGGGGGTTAGAACATCAGCATCAGGCGCACTATCACGATTATCAGCATGAGCATCACCACCATCACCATCAGACCCAGAACCGTGTGCAAGGGAGAGGGATGGGGGGAGGAGCTGGGGCGAACGGTGCTGCTGCCCTTGGTGTCGCTGGTAATGGGGAGGGCGGTGGTGGTGATGGTGATGGCATTGGTGGTATTGGTGGTGGTGGTGTGAGGAATGTGTCTCCCTTGCGGGCTGGTCTGCTTAGATTGGCGTCAGCAGGAGATGCCAGACGTGCTGGTGGTGCTGCTGCTGCTGGTGCTGCCTCTGGTGCTGGTGATGCTGACGCGTGTTTAGCAGCAGCTGCGGCAGCAGGAAGAGGTGGAGCAGGAGCAGGGCCAAGAGGGGCGCAAAGATTCGCCTCATTCGTCACAGGCACGCTGAGGAGGTTTTTGGGGCAGCAGGGAGCTTCCTCACCTCGTGGAGGTTCGGGAATGGAAGGAGGTTCAGGTACGGGAACTGCAGGTCCGGGAACAGCTGTAGGTACGGGTATGGAGACAGCTGCCTCGGTTCCTCAGGGGTTGCCTTCGGATCTTGCTGAGGTGGCAGGTCCGGGAAGTCCAGGTTCGGTGGGTAACAACCGCAATAACCCCTATAATATCGGGTCAAGCAGGACTCACGTTAACAGCACCGCCGGTGCCAGTTCTGCTGTCACTGGTAGCACAAGTGCTCGCACTGCTGCTGCTGCAGCTGCCGCTGCTGCTGTTGCAGGTGGCGCTGGGGGCTTCACTAGAGGCGGTGGGGGTGGGAGCAGCAGCAATGCTGGCCCAAGCAGGGCCAACAGCGGTTGAACGTACGTCACTCCCTCAGGTAGCGTTTCAGCTACTGCGGTTGGTTCCAGTACTGCTGCTGCTGCTGCTGCTGCTGCTGCTGGTGCTGCTACAGGGGCTGATCTCGTGGGAACGAGAGACAGCAACACCAGCAACACCAGCAACAGCAACCGAAGATCCCCTCTTAGGTCGCCGATGGGTTCCTTCTTTAGAGGCGCTTCTGTAGGGGCTGATGGAGGGGGAGGGAGTGGAGGGGAAGCAGGGAGGGAGGCAGGGGCGAAGGGAGGTTATTCGGCCCGCCCGCTCACGCCCCCGTTGCACCTCCCGCTGCGTTCTTCTCTTTCTCCTGTGCCTGCTCGCCCTGCTGAAGCGCCTCCCCGTCTCACTGGCAGCACTAGCAGCAGTGGTGGCAGTGGTGGTAGTTATAATGGTGGTGGCAGCAGCGGCGGTGGGAGTGGTGGGAGGGAAACGGGGGGTGTGGGAAGGGAAGGAGCAGCTGGAGAAGGTTGTGCAGCAGGTTTGGCTGCAGGTTTGGAGGCAGGTTCGGCGGCAGGTTCGGGGGTAGGTGGAGTAGAATTGGGATTTGCAGGGGAAGGAGGTAGAGGGTCAGGCTCAGAGCAGGAAACAGGATGTGGGAGAAGGTCAGAGGGTGTGGTAGGTGCAGAGGGATTGAGGAAAACAGACGCTGGTGGGGCTGCTGGGGGGTTATCAGAAGCGGCAGGGGCGGCTGGGCAAGGGGTGGAGCTTGGGACTAGGGAAAGAGAGGGTGCTGCCGTTGCTGCTGGTGCTGCTGGTGGTGATGATGCTGGTGGTGGTGAGAGAGGGGGAGTGGGTAACCGGGAGCATGGTGGGGGGGAGATAGAAGGGCAGGTGAGGGAGTTGGGGGAGATAAATGGGATTGGAGGGCAGATGCAGAGATAACGATGGTGCAATAAGAAGAATTGGGTGCAGCAAGCACTGCATGGAGGAAAAGCGGAGGCTAGAGTGCAATACGTTGCACTCGGATGTGCAAGGGTTCAACGGGATAAAAAATGGTGGAATGTGGTTGCAATAGGGTTGGGGGGGGGGGGGGAAAGAGCATGCACACTGTCCGTGCCTATGGCACGGGCAAATTGCTCCAAGATTTGAGAAGTGAGGTGCAATATTAATAGGTGTATTGCTGGCTCTTAGTTAATTTACTGCAGATTTATGCACATATAAAATGAGTTATGTTATTATGCTAGTATATTTATCATTATGTATTGTCAGGAAACATATTTCCTCAAATTGACAGTGGTATGATGTAGAGTGTAGGTTTACCTGAAAAGTGAATCGTGTAGTTATTTTTTTCGCGCGAATAAATGAATAATGTCCTCCAACTGAAAAGAGACCTGCACCTCGATATGGTCTCGCGCCTTGGTATTATCCAAAGCCTTTCTGATCAACTCTTTTCTTCCGCCTCCTAAGCGAGGCTTTTAATCTCCACCTCATCACCTCCTGAAGTTGCGGTGGTTTCTGCGTCGCGCCGCGTCCCTCGCCGCTCGCCAAAAGCCAATTCTCCTTTTCTTTCCTACGGAGCGTCTCGTGTCCGTTTGAAGAGCCTCGAAATCCCGCTCTGATCTTACCTCCACTGAGAGAATGCCGACCGTTAGCGTGGGTCGCGATCGGCTCTTCGCCGCGCTCGGCAAAACTTACAGTGAGTCGTCAAACTACCAATGTGAGGTGACTAACCGTTTACGGCGCCCTAGTAGTTACGTGTTAGTGTGGATCACGTAATCTCGTGTGAGTCGGACATCTAGTGTGCGTCGTTACACGGTCTCTGTCTCTGGTGTTTCGAACCTGAGGAAGGGTGCTTCAGCGGGAAAATATCCCGTGTTTAGAAAGTCGTAGCCCTTCGCGAGTCATGGTTCGGAATCGTGTCAAATTAACGAAGAACCCTACATCGGGAGTACGGACACCTCCCCGTCCAGGATTTTCGTTTAACATCATCGTTTTCCCTCCTTCTTGAGTTTCT